GTATGTATGTGTTTGTAATGCGTGTGTTTTTTGTGTGTGTTTTTTTGTTTGTTTATTGGTGAATATGTATGCGTATATATATGCAAGTTTGATTACTTGTTTGTAGGTTTGTTTTTCAATGTTTTTGTATATGTTTGTATATTCGTATGTATGTGTTTGTTTGTACATCTTTTTCGTATGCCTATCTGGAAATGTGTGTTAGTAAGTGTGTGTAGGTCTGTCTATTTGTATGTCTGTTTGTATGTCTGTTTGTATGTCTGTTGGAATCCGAACAACCAAACAGAAAGGTCTTCATTGCAAGCATCCGAGGAATTGTCTAGATCGCCTTAGGGATATGGACGTGAAATCACTACAGAACTTTCTCGAGGTATGTCACGAATCGTTGAATTGTGGGATGGCCTACTGGTTAAAGAGGTTCTACCTGTCTTGTATATTGCAGTCTGGCCGAGTTCAAATGCAAACCAATTCTTGGTTATTGCGGGCGTTTGTGTATGTCATTGCTATTATTGCCTGCTTTCTTAAGTAACTTCTCTCCCTCTCCTTCTCTCTCTTTTTTTCTCACTTTTTTCTCAAGTTCTCTCTCTCTCTCTCTCTCTCCTCTTTCTCTCTCACTCAGTTTCCATCTTGTTTTTATATTTTTAATTCAGTTTTTATACATTTTCATATTTCATTCGAACATTCGGCAACAGAAGAACGGGATATCATACAAGAAATTATCATCATCATCATCATCATCGTCACATTGGTCATCGTCGTCATCATCATCATCCTTATTACTATCGCCAGCACTACAACAACCACTATCATCATCATCACCATCGGCGTTCTCAAGAACGTCATCGTCATCATCGCTGCCGATGAAATGTCACGTGACTTTGATGAGGGACGACCGCACGGAGGGACCCTGTGGGGGCGAGTCCCTCGAGGGGTATGCCGGGATGTGCCGGTGAGTGAGCGAATGAATGAACGAGTGAATGAGTCCCGAGTGAATGACGGATACCTACTCATTTATTCATTCCTTCATTCATTCATTCATTCCTTCATTCCTTCATTCATTCATTCATTCATTCATTTTTTCATTCATTCCTTCATCCATCCATACATTCATTCGTCCATTCAATTTTTCCGCCAGAAAACATTACACTGAATACTTGGTGGATGAGATAAACATACACAAGTTGGACCCGCTGCATATGATGTCCACAGAGGAATTAAGGTGGTTCTTCAAAGGCCATTTTAACGGTAATACTACTACTATTATTGCTACTACT